AAAAAAAAGGTATGATATGTGCATTATCTGTGTAAAAATACAGTGTGGAATAAAGTAAGCTTAATGAAATAGGGAACTAGAATGTTGAAACTTTGGAGGGATCCAGGATTGAGAAATGTACAGAATCATGTATTTAAAGGCAGTAACAATCTATGCTAGATATATGTAAGGACTATTGATTTCATTCTTTTTATTATCTGTGTCTTCATGAGGACAGAGAAAGTAAATTAGGAAAAAATAATACATGAAAAAAATTATTTAATTTTGGATTAAAGCTCTATATCACTAACCCCCCAAAAAAAACCCAAACACACTGCCATGAACTCATAGAAACACTCATTGGGTTTCCAAGGCTATAAAATTTTATGGAAGCAGATTGCCTGGTCTTTTTTCCAGTGTAGCAGCTGGTGGATTTGGAGCATGGACCTTCTAGTTAACAGCCAAATGCTTTATCCACTATGCCCCCAGAGCTCCATCATATCTCTTAACTAGAGAGGCCAGTATTTTTCAGAGAGAAAACTTAAAAATATAGAACATTATGTTTCTATAATTGGCCTTATTTCTAGATTTCAGTTGGAAAATTGAATTTCTTTCTCCCAGTTTGCCTAAGGTACTTGCCTGCTAACCAGAAGGTTGTGGTTCAAACCCACCAGCCATTCCTTGGAAGGAAGGTTGGGCAATGTACTTCTGTAGTGATACTGCCTCGGAAACTCAAGGAGGGGTCGCTATGAGTTGAGCCCGACTTGACAGCACATAACAACAACAACATAATAAACTATTCCCACTGCCATCAAGTCAACTACAACTCATAGTGACCCATTAGGACAGAGCAGAATGCCTCATATGTTTTCCAAGGGTTTCTGCTTTACAGAAGCAGACTGCCTCATCTTCCTCCTGCAGAGCTGCCGATCTGTTTGAACCACGAGCCTTTTGGTTAGCAGCTGAATGCTTTAACCACTATGCCACCAGAGCTCCTCTTTATCTATACAAATGCTTGTTGTTGTTGTTAGGTGCTGTCGAGTTGTCTCCAATTGATAGTGACCTTATGTACAACAGAATGAAACATTGCCCAGTCCTGCTCTAGTCTCACAATACTTGCTATACCTGAGCCCATCGTTGCAGCCAGTGTCAATCCATCTCATTGAGGGTCTTCCCCTTTTTCATTGACCTTCCACTTTAGCAAGCATGATATCCTTCTCCAGGGAATAGTCTCTTCTGAAAACATGACCAAAGTAGGTGAGACAAAGTCTGGCCATTCTCGCTTCCAAGGAGCATTATGGCTACACTTCTTCCAGAACAGATGTGTTAGTTCTTTTGGTTGTCCATACTTTCAGTATTCTTTACCAAACCACAACTCAAAAGCATCAACTCTTCTTCAGTCTTCTTTATCCATTTTTCAGCTCTCACATGCATATGAGGCAATTGATAATACCATGGCTTGGGTTAGGCACACCTTAGTCTTGAAAGAGACGTCTTTGCTCTTCAAAACTTTAAAGAGGTCTTTTGCAACAGATTTGCCCAGAGCAATACAGCATCTGATGTCTTGACTACTGCTTCCATTGGTGTTGATTGTGGCACTGAGTAATATGAAATCTTTGACAACTTCAATCTTTTCTCCACTTATTGTGATGCTGCTCATTGGTCGAGTTGTAAAGATTTTCGTTTTGTTTATGTTGAGATGTAATCCATACAGCAGACTATAGTCTTTAATCTTCATCAGTAAGTGCTTCAATTCATCCTCACTTTCAGCAAAGTTATGTCATCTGTATATTGCAGGTTGTTAATGAGTCTTCCTCCAATCCTGATGCCATGTTCTTCTTCATATAGTTCAGCTTCTTGGATTATTTGCTCAGCATACAGATTGAGTAAGTATGGTGAAAGGATACAACCCTGATACACTCCCTTCCTGATTTCAAATCATGCAGGATCCCCTTGTTCTGTTTGAACAACAGCCTCCTGGTCTATGTACAGGTTCCTCATGAGCACAATTAAGTGTTCTGAAATTCCCATTCTTCTCAATGTTATCCATAATTTGTTATGATCCA